ATGTCAAAGTTAATGTACAAATAGTTTAATTGGGTGCAGAGAATCACTGTGTCTCTCCTAGCTAGTCTCAATTTACTTTTCTTATTTTCACATCAACGGAAAAGGGAAGTCTTTGTCACACCGCATATCTACTTCGACATGATATTATTACAATTTCCTTAAGCTACTTAAAGCTAGAGTTCACATATTGGAAATTGGAAATCTTTTAATGTCACTCTTTTTATGATTCATTGAATGGGTAAGATTTTAAAAGTGAAGCACTAAGAAAAGGTACAAGAGGGATAGTCGAGAAAAATATGGTTTCATGTCCATGTCTGAGATGATGGTGTCTTTATAAGTAACTTTTAAATTCGGAGATCAGATGATTTCTTGGACATGGTTCATTCAATTCAAATTTGTTTTAATTATTGGAATCTAATGTTCATTTGGTGGCAGACACATCAAGATATTGATTAATTGGAATAATTTTCATGTGGTAGGTCTAAAATACATCATAAACAAAGAATAGGAAGCCTCCGTTCGTCCATCCTATCTATATAAAGGCCCATTTGACATGAATTTTTCTTTTGTTTTTGCTTATTGTAGAAGAGTTTTTCAAAGAAGCGCTATCTTATTTATTTATTTTTTTCAAACTAAGTTTTGAAAGCACTTTTTTTTTTTCAAATGTGCTTTAAAGAAAGTCATATTCGATCAGTTTCCTCTAAAAACTTTTCTAATTATTGAAAATGTTTTCATAAAAATTAGCCAAACGGGTGCAAAAACAGTTTTTGGATTTCAAAATCCATATAAAATTGCCCTTAAATAATTTATCAATCACGTTTATCTAGATCAGATTCCTTCCATATTTTTAAACAAATCTGTGCTTATATTATTATAAAGGACAGTTTTTAATTCTGGGGTTTATAGAAAAAACAAGAAATTAAAGTAAATACTACTGATCGAAGGTTTCTCTTTTTCAGTGGACAAAAAACAGGGAAAGGATCAATCATAAACTGACCCTAAATAATAAAGAATTCACATCCCATTTGGCGATGGGATTTCTTTGCCTAGGTACAAAATTTTCCTCTTGTGGCAGGGTTATTTGGTTTTAATCGAGCATGCATATTTAAAATTTTAGGGCCCGTTTGGTAGGGATTTTGAGAATTGATTTTTTGACCGTTAGAAGAAAAGTGGGATCCACATGTGAGAGAAGAAGTCAAAAATTACGACTTGAATAGTAAAATAACAGTCAAAAAATCAATTTTTTGGGGCAAAAAATTCCTACCAAATGGGGCCTTAATGTCAGATGGCATTATAAAGTAAAACAATCAAGAACCCTAAATGTCATTTACAATGGAAGTAACGAAAAGTCGCAAGAAAAGTACTGAGGAGGAGCTGGCTTCAACACTAATATATGGATATTGTCATGTTAGATATATGTAAGTTGAGATATTAAGTTCTTGTTTCATTTTGATTAAAAATAAATAAATAAATAAAACTCATTTATGTTCACACGTCTCTTAATAAAGTAATTTTGTAATTGGAAAGTTATGGATCACATAAACTATGTGGTTGAGATGAATAGTAGACTTTGACTAATTGAATTAAAATTAGAATTTAAATTTTAATCCCTACCGAACACGGAATTAATCTAATCAAGCTTAAGCATAGAATTGATATTAGAACTCACGGAATCAGTCTATAAAAGTTATCATACTGACTCCGAATGGGATTTTTATTATTTTTTCAAGTCATGTTCGAGCTTAAAACCTGCATAAGCCGAGGATGATGATTTAATATATCTTGTCTCAATTTCTCTTCGACTTCAGAACTATTTTTCTTTATACTAAAGAAACTAGGATTTAATAATTCTTGTCTTGTTGTAAACTTTATACGGCTTGAAGAAGAAGAAAAACTTGGCCCAGAATCTGATGCTAATGGAGTTTCCGTATCTTTCCTCTTCCGGTAATAACTTTTTGGGCCTAAAGTCAGCTCAAGTTCACTCTCGTCTTCTTCTTCGAAATTCTCAGCAGGCTGTCCCAAGTCGAGATACTGTCGTGCCTTCTTATGTACATCGCCATGACCATTCATTTGCTCGGAAATAGACTCAAAATCGTGCATATTTTGCCTATTTTTCGCTACACCAGTCATTAGTATCTTCTGTTTATGATACAAACGATGAAGTTCCCGAATCTGCAAAAAAGAAAAAAAGAAAAAAGGGTACAGTTTCGAGCTAAAAGAAGATGGGTTTATAAGCTTTTAAACGACATGGCTCGACTGAAGTGAGTGAAATCTTTAGCTCACTGTGTTCATATATAAGAGGTTAATCTTCAGAAATTTTCATAAAAAAATTGTAGAGAAATCAATATACCTGCTCTCTAAACGTTTCCTCATGCTTTAACATGGTCATCTTCATGTATTCTTTGTCGTATGGATTCAGAAACTTCTCCATTGAAACTTGTGCACTAGTTTTGGCTGATAAATAAAGCCAATAATCATATGAACACTGCTTCAAGGATCTTATGCTCCAACTAATCGAACTGTATAGTGTATATAGATGGTATAGAATTTGTGAATATATTTCCTATTGTTTTCCTCTATCTGTATATGCAGAAAAGGACTAATATTAAACATAGGTAAATGAAATTCAGTACTATGCATGCATGCATTTAGTATGAATCTGATGAGTGCAGTATCATTATTTCTGCGCCATAATAATAGTATTACCAGGAAACTAACTTGCTGATCTTCCCAAATCAAGATGAAATTCAAAACAAGTTAAAGGTACATATCATAGTATATGCATTTGAAAAATTTTAATTCTGGGGTTTATAGAAAACACAAGAAATTAAAGTAAATACTACTGATCGAAGGTTTCTCTTTTTCAGTGGACAAAAAACAGGGAAAGGATCAATCATAAACTGTATTTTCTGGCCGTCTAATCTTTTGAATCACCAAAATATATATATACCGAGAAAAAAACAGTGCAATCAGTTCAATCTGTGTCCTTAGATCTCATAATTCAAGAACTATACATAGGTTTATCAGCAAAAGAGTTGTACTTCTAAAATCATGCAGTAGTTAATACTAACTTCCATTACAATAGCCCTGATCTTGATAATCATCTTTGATATATACTAATGGCACCCAATGATCCACCCACCCAACAGAAAAGGAAAAAAGGAAAACTGTAGACTAAAGGTGTTAAAGAGGAATATGAATGAATCTATCTACCTTAAAAAGTATATGATGAACTGTATAGATCACTGATTTGTGCTGTGTAAAAAGAAGGAAAGAAAAGACTCAAAAAAGGTAAAGCAAACAGTTCTCTCTTTCTGGGGACAACTCAAACTTCAGCTTTAACAGTTGTGTGGTTGAATTTTGATAAAGAGACCTAAAACTTTCCTCCTTAAGTTCCCTTCAGCTGAAGAATTGAAGAATAATCAAATCACTTTTACGCACAGATCAGAAGAGCATTTTGGCATGCCAAACAAATCCCAGTGCCTTAGCCAATATGATTTTAGGTTTGTGAGAGAGATGCACCACAGGCATGTCCAGCACTGCAGATATATTAAAATCCCAATGCCCGCCCGCCACCCTTTAGACAAATCGTCGAAATAAGTGGAGCCTGCCAAACTTAATCACATGCACCCTACTCTAGTATTATTCTATTTCAATATAACCAGACACAGTTGTCTTTCCAACCATGCTATATTGACATAATCCTTGACATAATAGTTAATATAACGACACATGACATTTCATCATTGAATTGTTTTAAATATAGTTAACTTTTTTATTCAATCACATCTCACCAATACACATTATGTTACTCCGTCTGTCAACCACTTTTTGGCGAAGTGGCATAACCCTTGTTTTTAACTCTTAAGCCTCTATTTAATCTCCATTATTTAAAAATTTATTTTTCTCAAAATTATTTTCAACAACATATTCTTCTAATAAAATAATTTTACATATACATCTAAAATCTTTCTTACTTTTAAATTATATATTCTTTAAAAATTACTATTAAATAATCTATTTTCCTAAAAAATAGACTAAAACAAACCCTCAATAATACAATTACACATGTAATTTAGATAAATAAATATGTGTCCTAGTAGACTTAAGTTCCCTTCAATGGGACTTTGCTCCTGCTTCTATTTTTTGTAGAAGGGATTTTTGAGAAGCTGGGCTCTTCTAATTGAAAAACATTTGTAATTTTAAAAATAATTTTTGACTTTTCAAGAACCTTGTCAAACATTATAAAGGTTTGAGATCAAGATTTAAAATTAATTATTTATAAAAATTGTGTTTTAAGTTTGAAAAATTGAATTGGACTTGATTAAAATAAATATAAAATGTGAGAGGCGGCCAGTTCGATCATTGAATCATGACCGTACGTGAAGTGGGTACTTCCTGAAATAGTCCAAGTTCGGGATATCCCATGATCTCAATATCAAATCATTTTACAGCGTGAATTAGTGTAACAGACAAGTGTATAAAAATACATTTGCAGGATAATGGATTTTGTCTACATAAAGGTAGATTACATATGGGTTTATTGATCTAGATTGGTCACTGTTTTAAAAGGCATAGGGCCCGTTTGGTAGGGATTTTGAGAATTGATTTTTTGACCGTTAGAAGAAAAATGGGGTCCACATGTGAGAGAAGAAGTCAAAAATTACGACTTGAATAGTAAAATAACGGTCAAAAAATCAATTTTTTGGAGCAAAAAATCCCTACTAAACGGGGCCATAATACGTGATGGTACATAAATGCCAAGCTTGGTGATTTGACATAAAGATCTTGGCAATTATATAAAGTTTAAATTTAATAAATATTCAACAAGGGGTATAAAAGTCAATACATGTTAAAACATTGAGATTAAAGAAAGAGTTCTATGGTTGAAATTCATAATTAGATTTATATAAAAAAAAAATTCAAATGTGTATTTCAAACCCTAAATATCTAAATTTCGGGTTTAAGAAAAAATTTACAGCATTACATGTGATTTGGTATGCGGCAGCCTAGGTGCTAGGTCCGCAACACCCAAGTAGGGCACTGCTGCACTCGATTTCTGCCGGGAGCACACATCACCTATATTTTTTTGCTGTTTGATTTTTTTTTTTTTTTTTTTAAGTTGATAACAAAAAAATAAATAAATAAAAAAAAGAATTTCGCACTGATTTATTTATAGGTCACAGATCCCAGTTGACAACCACACACATTAGATGAGGCCTATAATGAATAAAAAATCGTAGGCCCCCACTTATGAGTAAGTTGTCAATCGGAGTTGTCAATCCCAATTGTACAACTAGCAAAATTTCTTTTGACAATTGGCATCTCTATAATAGGAATTCAAAGTTTAGCAACTATATATGAATACTTACATTGGAGAATTTTTAACACAAATATTGCAAAAAATTTTTTTACCAATAATATGGAAAATGTCAATTCCTACTCTAAATTTGTAGATTTTGGAAGAGGTTTAGATTTTATAATTTTGGGAGATGCATATTAGGTTTTTGATTTGAATAATGCTATGCAATCACACGGGTGATAAGAGCTCCAATATAAAAACACAAGATAGATTCAATTAAATAGACTATATCATCTTGCATTTAAATGAATTTATCATTTTATGTCACATATATTGTTGTCTAAATTGTGATTAACATTAGTGGAGTTATATAACATTACTCGAATTGAATTTGGGGATGGTGGACTTGTTCTTCACTGCCCCACCCCCGCCCACCCCCTTCTGTAATTTGTAAGTATTTAGAACAATTAATGCCAAGATAATTACATTCCCATTTCCCCAACTTTTGTATTAATGTTTCAAAATAGTCCAATTTTTTGGGGTACTCCGCTGAAGTCCCCTGTAAGCTAGCCCATTGCATCATGGTTTAGGCTTCACTAAAGGTATGGGCCTCAGTATCCCAGGCCCATAACCTTGTAAAATCCACCCTAGTTAACAATTAGTCCTTGAGCTTCATTTTTTTTTTCATATTCTTTTTTAATTACACATTCTCCAAAAAAATTAATTTTACACATAAATTCAAATTTTTTTTTCTACTTTTAATCACACAATCTGCCAAAAAAAAAAAAAAAAACCACTATTGCAAAATCTATTATCCTATAAAATAGAGCTCAAATAAACCCTTTATACTTTCAATTGCCAGTCTTGCATAGCCTTTATATTAGTTGCAAGTTATAGTATAGTATGCGAAAAGTTATCAATAGTCCTTTCCAGTACTATTTCGTAATTCATTGAATCAAATATATCACAAAATTTATTGTTTCTTTATAGAGAAAGATAATAGAGTTGTGCTACCTGCACGGGTCCCTTTGCACAGAGCTTGTACATGTGGACCACATGTGTGTGCACCTGTACAGGCCCTGTGCAAAGGGGTCTGTGCAGGGAGCTTTTTCCAAGATAATAACATGATTTGAAATGTTAATACATTAGAATTTGAGTGATTTTTTTATTAAATTATTTTTCTTTCATTTAATTATACATTCGTCTTTCTCAAACAAATAACTGTTAAATGTGCAATACATAAAGTGAATTTATAAAAATTTAAATTATGATATGCCACTCACGACTATAATATTAATAATGATAAAAGATTACATAAGACGTATTATAGAACGTTTATGAGCTATCATTTGTCCATGGGACTTGATGTCATAAATATATGTTTCCTGTAATTGCTACAATAAAGTTACAAAGGCGAAACCAAAGCTAAGGATATGGTTGACTTCAATTTGCTTTATTTTGTTCTTGAAATTTTCAAAACGATCCTTGATTTAAAAATTGCTAAATAAGAAAAAATAAATAGCTTTATTTTTGAAAAATCATCTCCATTGCAATATGACGGGGATTGCCAAAACTATTTAGCGTATAGAAAAAAAAAAGTTTAGGAGGGAAAGAAAGAAAAATTCTTTCATGAAACTTAACTTTTTGATCACACATTTCATCTATTTCTATCAATATCTATTAAGTACTAAATTCTGATTTTAATTTTCACTAAGCAAAGACTATATATCAATATCATGTAGATAGCATGTTTTTCAAATTATATGTCAGATAACAATCTATAAAAAGTAGAATCAAGTTAAAGTGATCGAATTCGTTGATATAACGGCCGATCGACCCTCAAAATTTGCGTATAGGTCCCGCGTCAATTAAAAAATGCCAACCCTCCCATGTGTGTGTTTGGTCATCCTCACTGGCGGACTCACATGGGGTCATGTGGGGTCAAATGACTTCACAATTTTTTGGATTTTCTTTCTTTCTTTTTTTTTTCTTTCTCCTTGTTTAAAACGTAATTTTCTGTCAAATTCCCTAGCCCTATGCCCAAAAAACCCAAACCCAAATCATATTGTAGTAGCATACGGTCTTATTTTTATTAATGATATGTTGTTCGAAAAAAATTTCATTTTTTACCCCATAGTTCAAACTGCCTAGATCCGCCCCTGGTCATCCTCTATCTCAATCTCTATATTAGGCTCCGTTTGATACGCCATATTTTCCATGGAAGTAGGAATTGAAAATGTCATTTTCACTTTTTGCCATATTTGATAGGCAATACCTTCTTGGCAATTTGTATTCTAGTTTTTTGGCATGTGATCCTATTTTCCACGAAAATGAGGAATTTGTATTCCCGTGGGTGAGTTGGGAATTTATTATCTTAGTTGTTGCTTATTCTTTTTTTTTTTTTTCTTTTTTTGACAATGGAAACAAATTCTATATATAATTGTAATATATTATGTCCCTTTAATTGACAATTTTTATTAAGAACAAAGCCAAAAGAACACCAAAAAATCCATAATTTTAAGATTTTTCGGATGAAAAATTATATAAATCAAACACATTTAGTTGACGATTCTCAAAAAAACAAGTTCTAAGCAATTAGATTCCTTGAAATTCGTTTTTTTTCACCCAAATTTTATTTTTGCAATCAAACGGACCTTTATTGTAGCAAAACCTGTATTGGAGATGCTTTTCTGTTTTGAAAGTTTAAAATTAGTTGCAAGCGGGAAAATTATTGGTATGATTCGATCCAAGAAAAAGCCATTTTTAAACATGTGGTTCTGATGAAAACGGTACCAAATACACGTGTCTGCACTTATATTGGGCACAGAGAGTAAAATAAGTACTTTTAGCATTGGATCTTGGCAACAAACAAAATTTTAAAGAACCTTTTGAATGTACAACCGCATCATTTCCCCATGTGTTAGCGTAATTGATGAAAGAATGGTCGGCACGTTTCTATGCAAAGTTTTCACTCTCTGTTTAATTAAACATAAAAAAAACAAAACCTCAATTGCCACAGCATAATGGACTGAAATCTTGAGATACTTTCTCATACTTTCACTAATGATTATTCTTATATTTAAATTCAACATTTAATTATGATACTTGTGACCTCAAATTTCTGATTGATGACATCAACAGATCTCGACTCTACTCATTTTCATGTGTAAGGTGTTACACACTTCAACAAACTGTTAGAAGCACGTGACCTTTTTCAATGGTAGGGGAGGCGATTACAAGTAATCTGATAATCAAGTCAATCAATTGTATATTTGGACATGGATGGACGAAAGACACAAGCCACAACTATGTATATGGTCACTGGGTTGTACAGAGGAAATAATAAGAGTGAGGAATGTTTTATTTATGAAAGTGTAAAGTTATATTACCTTCAATGATACTAAGCGTAAATTTTAATAGTAAGAGAGGTGGAGTGATTATCGTTGAATAAAAGACTCGTTGCGTCAACTTAATGATCGATGTGTCTTCTTTTAAGTGTTACTTCTATAGCATTAAGTTCAAAGAATATTCAATGATTCTAAAAGTAATCACTGCCCTACAATCAAAGTCTCACATCCAAAAAGTTGATTGAAAGAATCTCACATCTGAAATCTAGACCAACAAGTTGATTGAGAGATGTTTACAATAGAGGAGTAATATCGATCAATTACAGAAGGTCTTATACAGAAGATATCCTAAAAGAGAAATCTTGTACAAAAGATCTCTTGGAAGAGGTAAAAGGAAAAAATGCTTTTATGGGTTCAAAAGCTTATCATCTCGATAATAGGCTCAACAGATCGTGACACCTCGCTTCAGTCGTAGTGTTCGAACACTACTTGGAGCCTTGGTTAAAGTGATTACATCACTTTGACTACCTCTATTTTGATAGCTTCATTTAGGCTAGGTTGGTCGATGGCGTGGAGTTCGAGCTTGAATTAGCTTATAAGCTAGTTGTCATGTGATAAGTGATAAGAGTCTCTTTGAATGAGGCGTAATAGTACTTGACAATGACATTCAATTCAGCAGCCAAGACTAAGCATAGACTGTCATTTTTCACTATTATTGATATTCCTAAAATTAGTGCTAAAATTCGAAGTTTACAGTCTTTTCGTCGATTTCTTGGGACATTTTCTTCCAAACGCACTAGTGTGCAGTATATAAATCGAATCCTAAAAAAAACGGTCTTAACGTGAATGTAGAGATCTAGTTGTCTCTATTTCTTTATACGTTTCTCTCTATAAACCAAGTCATAAAATATTAAGTTATGCGACGAGGAGAGCAGTTGACAATTGATATAAAAACACAAAGCCAGCCAGCCAACCTGAAAATTTCTGTAGAGAGATTCTAAGCCAACTGGCATATTACTGTTACACTTGCGTAATTTAATCTATATATAATACAATACAAATTAAACTCTATACAACAATTTTGAAAGTATGGGTCGATTCAATCTTGTAATAGCTGTGTTATCACTTTCTTTGAGTGTTTGTTTCTTCCCTGATTCGGCTTCTGCTCAACTCCGACAAAAGTATTATGCAAATATCTGTCCTAATGTCGAAGACATAGTGCGAAACGTCGTTAACCAAAAATTTAAGCAAACTTTCGTTACTGTACCAGCGACACTTCGTATGTTCTTCCATGATTGCTTTGTCCAGGTATACATCAATTTTGTCCTTAATTATCACAAACAGATAATTAGATGGCTAAGCTATTGTTTTTCGGAAAACAGGGCTGTGATGCTTCGGTTTTAGTAGCATCAACTCGAGGAAATACAGCAGAGAAGGATCATCCAGATAATCTCTCACTTGCTGGAGATGGATTTGATACAGTAATTAAAGCTAAGGCAGCTGTTGATGCAAATCCCAGATGCAGGAATAAGGTTTCTTGTGCTGATATTCTTGCAATGGCTACACGGGACGTCGTTTCCCTGGTTTGTATAATCTTTCTTCAGTTTATTGGCATACAATATTGAATAGGACTAGACGGTTTAATTACCTATTCGTGCTTAATTAATGTTGAGTCTGTGGTGGTAAAAATGAAATTGCAGGCAGGTGGACCTTCATATGCTGTGGAGTTGGGGAGACTTGATGGGCTAAGATCAACAGCTGCCAGTGTAAATGGAAATCTGCCCAAGCCAAGCTTCAACTTAAATCAGCTTAATGCTATGTTTGCTTCTAAAGGCCTATCTCAGACAGACATGATTGCTCTTTCAGGTTAATATTAATTTTAATAATTAGTCTGACTTTTGCATAGGAAAGAATGTCACCAATTGCTACAAGTTCTGCCTTTGAACGTATAATCGTGGCAAGTAGTACTGGACCGTTCAAGACTCGATGGTATTATGAACAAAATTGAATCATATTATGTGTATAGACAGATTTGTCCGATGAAGTTACAAGTTGCCAGATGACAACATTGCATTGGAGTTTGACCAACAAACAAATTTAAATAATCTAAACAGGGGTTGCCATCTCAATCCCTGTGTATAGCCTAAGAAATCTCCCCTGTACAAGGGGCTTATTCTCTTGACACTTTCTTTTCTTATTTAGTATCATTGAGTTGCGTCAATCGTTTGAATTCGTACTTACCCTTTTTAAATTAGTCAACTCAAATTTAGAGAAAATAAGCAACTAGTGATGCATTTGATGTAAACTTTGCAGACCTTTTCTAAAATTGTCATTTTAAACATTAATTCCCAGATTATGAACCGAGTCAAAATTGTTATATTTCTATGCAGCTGCTCACACTTTAGGATTTTCACACTGCGATAAGTTCGCAAACCGTATATACAACTTCAGCCGTCAGAAGCCGGTGGACCCAACCCTGAACCGGCAATATGCGACCCAATTACAGGGAATGTGCCCACGAAATGTGGACCCCAGGATAGCCATCGACATGGACCCAAAGACACCTAGAGCCTTTGACAATGCCTATTTCCAAAATCTCCAGCAGGGCAAAGGCTTATTCACATCAGACCAAGTCCTCTGGGCGGACAGAAGGTCCAGGCCCACTGTTGATACATGGGCCAGAAACCCAGAGGCCTTTAAGAGTGCCTTTATCCAAGCCATGACTAAATTGGGCCGGGTCGGAGTCAAAACGGGCAGGAATGGGAATATCCGTTTTGACTGTGGAAGATTTAATGGATAATATATTTTTGACATTTTTAATGGGTAAATATAAATTGTTAACAAATCTAGTATTTGTTCTGTTTGGGGCCTGTCTTTGACAACAGACATGATTTTTTAATTTGTGTTTATGCAAGTTTATTGTTTCAATAATATGTGAAATAAGAAACCTTGAAGTGTAAGCGTTTCAAAAAATTTCTGTTTTTCCTTCGCTTTGTCGAATAAAATTCGGTTCGTGACAATTTTTCGTTTCCTCAATTAGTATCATGGAAGCGCAACACTTATTTATCGATTAGATTATGTTAGGCTTAACTTTTAAAAAAAAGTTTACAAATGACTTATTTATTGCGGTCATGCTACATGTACAATCGGGGTTGACAACCACATACGTTAGAGGGTCCACGATAAATAAAAAAATCGTGAACCCCCTCCTGTGAGGAGGTTGTTAACCCCGATTGTACAATTAGCAAAATTTTATTTACTGTAGGAGTAAGACAGAATCTTTAACAAGAGGAAGCAAAGCCAAACACGTTCTTAACATAAGTCCAATTCACATGGGGGAATAAAATCCAAATCAACTTTTTCAAAATAGATGATTACAAATGAATGATTAGTGCTAATCCTATTTATTTAGGGATGACTCGTTGTTTTAGTATTAAATTCTTTAGGTTTTATTCCTTGGAATTACTTTGAGTTGAATAGAATACTTCATAGAGTTGAAATTCTTGAGCTGACAGCTGAATAATTTTTAGTTAATTGCAAGTAGAGAAAGCTGGTTACGTGACTTAATTTGCAACCATATGTAAGAAAAAGATATTTTTGTTTTTTTATATGTATTCAACCCTTCTGGATAAATAATAAAACTGTGTATATTTTAGAAATTATTTGCATTAAATATTTTCTGAAAGAAAAATATACCTTGACAACTACTTTTGACCAACTCTAAAGTGACAACACCGAATATTATTGTAAGGGCTGGGTGTACAATAAAAGTAACAGCACCCTCGACATGAAGGGTCTGTATACAAGCAGAATAATTTTTAGGGTCCGTTTGATTGTAAAGATGGAATTGAATTGAATCCAAAACGAATTTCAAGGAATTGAATTGTCTAGAAATTGTTTTCTTGAAAAATGTAAATTATTGTGTTTAATTGATATAATTTTTCAAGTGGAAAATGTTGAAATAAAAGTGTTTTTTGGTGTTCGTTTGACTTTGTTTTACATGAAAATTATCAATTAAAGGGATAAATTTTACTGGTATTGAGGATAAAATTTGTTTCCATTACCAACCAAAAAATAAAAAATAAAAAAAATTCAAGAAAATCATCTATTTTTTGGTTTTCGTTTGACTTTGTTTTACATGAAAATTAACAATTAAAGGAAAATATATATATATATATATATATATAT